CGCCGCCCCGCGCCCCCGCCAGGCGCCGCCCGCCCCGTTACCTCGGAGGCCAGGGTTGTCGTCTCTGGCCCGAATCTTTCGGATTTTGACGGGGCGCCCGCTCAGGGTGGACAGGACCAGACGCTGGCGCAAGAAGTTGCACCCCGCGTAGCTGAGGGAGTGCGCCTGGGTGGCCATGGGCGCGCCCCCACCTCCAGGCCCGGGCGGCCGGCGCGCGGAGACTTCGCACGGGCGCGGGGGTGGCGACTCCCGCGACGGCGGCCCCGGCGGCGGCCTCAGCCCCGCAGCCCCCCGCGCGTCCACGTGGTTTGGAACAGGAAGACGGAGAGACAAGACACCGGGTCAGAGGGGAGCGGGGCGGAGTCAGCGGCCGCCTCCCCGCCCGGCTGGGGCGGCCCCGGCGCCGGGCCGCGCTGCTATTGGCCGGCTCAGCATCCGGGCTGCCATTAGCCGGCTCCGGAGCTGGGCGGCGCCCAGACCGCGCGGCCATTGGCCCGAGTGGAGCTGGGCGGTGCCCGAGCCCCGGCAACAGCGCGCGGCGGGAGGGCCGCAGACAGTCTGCCCGGGAACCTGCGCGCGCGAGTCTCCGCGGGGCTTCCCGGGAGTGAAGCCCGGGGGAGGCGACAGACTCCGGTAGAGTGCCCACTACGTGTGTGTGCTCAGCATCACTAATCGCGATCCAGCCGCGAGAATGGTATCATCGTCCCCGGTTCCTTTCCTGACAGATGAGAAAACAGGGTTGGCGCGCTTACCCTGTTGTTGCCCGATGCGGAGCGCGCATCCGACGCGATCGCTTCGCCCGCCTCGAAGGTTTCCTGCCTTAAACACCAGGATGGGCTCGGGGAAATTGCAAAGCTGACAGCGGCCACCTGTCCTGGGACCCGAGTCTTTTGACGCCAGGCCGCTGTCCCTTTTGTTTTGCGCCTTTCTCATCTGCCCCTGTTCACTGCACTCCATGCCAAGACAGACCCTTCACCTCTCACGCTTCAAAATGGATCGCTGCCATAACTTCAAAACGTAGGCACGTATAGCTTTTCCCTCTTCTCAGTCCGCGAATCCTGTACACCAAAATCGTCCTATGCCATCATTTCGCTCTCTTACCTTCAAAGATGAACGATTAACTATCAAATGGGTACAAGCTTAGTAGTTTAATATAATGACGTAGATTTGCAGTCATTCTTGGATAAGGTCCGGAACGCAATAAGGAGTCGGGATGGGCGACAGGAGTGTTTGCAATGGGTCGGAGCTGGAATGCGATTAAAAGACAAAACCAACCTTAGGAGGGTAAGAGTAAGTTATGAAGAACACAGGGGGTTCTGACTTCCTAAACGGTAGCAGGTTAGTATTAGCTGTAGATAGAACTTAACAGAATCAACCCTGAAGTCCCCTGACATAAGAGACTACCCAGTTTATATTAATGCCATATCTTGAAGTAGCCTTTTAGGGAGCTGACAGGGTTCAGGTGGGGGATGTTGGAAAGCTCCTGCACTCCCTGAGGGGTTCTCCCCAATGCTTTTATGGGGAATGCTAAAGCAAGGAAAGACGGTGTTGCACCTGGAGTGTTGTTTTTGTAGTTTTTTAAAATGTCATCTCATTAAATTACTCAACAGTCTTAACAACTATTATCCCTTGTAGCATGCCCTGCTCATATCGTTCAGGTCTTATTATTTTCAGTGTAAACCCCATCAGTTTTCTTCTACCAGTACCTTCATCTCTGCTTGAGGGATTTTTTTCCTCTCCTGCAGGGAATTCAGCAGACCAGCAGTACCGGAGAATTAATAACCACCCTACCCCCTCAATTTCACCCCAGTCTTCAATTAATGACTGACAGGACATGGTGTATGAATACCCCAGCTCTTACCCTTGGCGAGAGAGCTCTGAAACACAAGATCGTTGTGGTTTATATCCTCCGAAAGCCTCATTCACTTGTGGGTGGGGCTTTAGGGAGGTGATGGATCATGGGTGGGATAAACAGTGGATTATTCCACGGATGAGTTTATGGCTAAATGTAGGGTTGAGAGGTGGAGCCTGGTCAAAGGAGGCGGTTGCTATGGGCGTGGCCTGGAAGGGTTTTTCTTGCTCCCTGGCTCTGGAATTTCCTCTGTAAACGGCTCCCATGCCCTGAGCCATTTCTCCTCTGTGATGTCCCTCTGCCATGCTGTCCTGCCTTGGAGCCAGCCGACTGTGGACTGAAACCTCTGCAAACTGTAAGCCAAAATAAACCTTTTCTCCCATAACTAGTGGGTGTGGGGTATTGTGCCTCAGCAAGGAGGAAAGTGACTAAGACATAGATCCTGCAGGGTTTCCCCAGGGTGCCCTAGTAGTTTTAAATTCCTGTTGCCTACAGCAATAACTTGCTTGGTTAATTACTTTCAATGCTTCTTTCACCTGCCCATATCACTTCCCAATTCCCTCTGATTTGTCCTGGGATTAAATCCCAAATAAATTATTTGCATTCCAACACTTGCCTTGGGATCTTTTGGGCAACTCCAAAATACCATAAATCTTGGCTTTCAAATTGAGAAATGCAATTCAGAAAAAAATGAATGGCTTGTTTAAAATGACATCGCTAAAGCTAGGCATGGTAATCCCAGTACTCTTGATAGGCTACGGCAGGAGGATCTGGAAGTCAAGCCCACCCTTGGCAAGTTATCAAGACTGTCTGAAAACAAACAAAAATCGACTTAGCTAATAAATGGCAAAACCAGACACATATGTATGTTAAATATATGTGTATATAGTAAGATCTGGCAGAAGTCTAGCGTTAGTGAAGCTGTTTTACAAGAAAGGGTGAGACAGACAGATGGACAGACAGACATAGAAAGGCTACCTGACAGCCAGCATGACCTTACTGACAGGGAAGTAAGCAAGGCCTATATGATTCCGGTTCCCAGCCAGCCTCTGACCACTTTTGAGCATCCCTAGCTCATGCTATCTGGACCACAGTGAGAGTGATGTAGTCTTCAGAGGGGTTTAGGTAGAAAACTTGCATGATGTGCTTTACATATTAAGAAGTCACTGATTAAACTCCTGCCATCTCTCAAGACTTGTGGCATGTGATACCGAGACCTTAGTAACTTAATTGTCCAAAATTAATTATTAATTTTAATAATATTAATTAGAATTATTTTTCAAATGAGCTACTGAGACTCAAGGAAGCTACGTAACTGTCAAATACCACAGAGTTCACAAGAGAGGCAGTCCAAATGGGGCAGACAGATTGTCCTTAGGACCTGGTATTTATGCCCTTATGTAATTTCCTCTCCTTGAGTGTGGGTGGAGCCTGTGACTTACTTCTAACCAATAGAATGTGACAAGAGTGGATAGGATGTCACACATACACACCCCCCTGACTATTAACCTTATGTAAGAGTCTGTCTTGATAGTAGGCTTGCTTAGAGTCTTTCTCTGTTGCTGGCTTTCAAAAAGCAAGCCACCATGAATCCTGTAGCTGCAAGAAACTGAACGTTGCTAGCTACCATGCTGAGTAGAGAAGTAGACCCTTTCTTATTGAGCCGCCAACGAAACTCTAATTCTGGCTGCCACTTTGACTGCAACCTTGTAAGATCCTGAAACACAGAGCCTATCAGACCCAGGCTGGAACTCCTGACCAACTGCTTAAGCCACTAAGTTTATGGAAATCTGGTACACAGCTCATGAAAATTAATATACTGGGTCTGTCTGATCTCCAAAGCCTGATCCTTTTCCTGTGAGGTATGATCTAAAAATTTAAATTTTAAAATATGTATTACAGTAGAAGCTAGGCGTGATGGCACAGGCTTGAAATCCCAACACTTGGGAGGCTAAGGTAAGAAGATTGCTGTGAGTTGGAGGCCAGCCTGGCTACATAGTGAGTTCAAGGCCAGTTTGCATTTCATTGTGGACCCTATCTCAAAAAAATTATTGCAATAAAAGACACACTGCTGTTAACCTCCCTCAAAACATCTCCGTTTCTGTGTACCCATTTATGCCATCCTTCTTCCCACTTTCTGAAGCAGTCGTGGAAGTCCTCTTTCGTGAGTGTCTTTAGTTCTGCTGTCATTGCTGCCATGATGTCCTGAATCAATTAAAAACATTTACCTTTTATGGTCATTTTTACTGTTGAAAAGAGCCAGAAGTCACGAGGTGCCAGAGCCAGTGAATGAAGGGGATGAGGATACACTTTAGTGTTTTTAGAAGCCTGCCTTTCTGTTGGATGGTGCCTCGCAGCAGCATTTGTGGTATTTTTAATCACACCTCTTAAAGACACAAAGAGGATTTCCAGGATTATTTCGGAAAGTGGCGAGAAGGATGAGATATGTGTGTCCAAGGAGGTGGATAGTTTAAGGGAGATTAATGACAATGTGTCTTTACTATAATGATGTTTTTTAAATTTAAACATTCACTATATATTTCAGTCACACTTTGTATACCTTAGTCAAACCTGTAGTAAAAGGGGTTAGCTGATTAGTTAAAGGGAAACGTAGATTATCAGAGTTTGAAGAAGCTCAAAGAGCATATGGCCACACCCCTCTGTGACAATCCCCCTCTCCCAAGCGAATAGCTAAGAATGTAAGAATGTTAAAACACTAAATTGGAAGATAGCCTGAGTGCCATTTGCATTTAGATGACAACTACAGACAGGGATAACTAATAATTTTTAAATTTTCCTATGATTCTGTGAGAACCATTAGTTGTGATATTTCATGTGTTTTCCTAAAGCAGTAAAAATACTGGTGAAATTTGAAAGTTGTGTGCTCATCTCAGAGCTTAGAGGAAAGGACCTAGGTAAAGGATTTATTTTTTTTTGCATTTTTTTTTATTTTAAAAATAAAAGGAGGAAAATATTAACAGACAGTCGACATTTTACAAAATAGCAAAGGAACAGTACAGACAGTACAGAGTTACAAACAGAGTGGTAGGGAATTAACAATGCTTGTTGTATTACATATTGATATCTTCACAGTGGTTTCTCATGAAAACAGATATAGACATACAAAGCTGAAAACAGATATAGACATACAAAGGACTCATTGACAGTTTCTTTCAGCAAAGAAATACAAGACAGTAGAACAGCCATGTTAACTATCCTGCATATGCATACACACAAACTTTCTCCTTCTTTGCCTTCAGGTAAAGGATTTATGTCTTGCTACACAACTGTGAACTATATCTCATTGGTTATGAAAATGAAAGATCACCAATAGATGATAAGAAAGTTGGTAGAATTTTTAAGGCACCAATTGTCAGTCTCTCATTTATTTATTTATTTAGTTAGTTTTTGAGACAGGGTCTCGCTATGTAGTTCAGGCTGGCCTTGAACTCACTTTGTAGCCCAGGCTGGCCCCTAACTCATGATGATCCTCTGAT